GTCATAAGCTATCTGCTTGCAAAATTTCATGCAAATCCGTTCAGACTTTTCCGCGTATTAATTTAATTACACTTTTTTACCAGGTGGCAACTTTTAAAAAAGAATCCCATTTTCCAACCTAGCTCATAACCTATCTGTGCGAAGACTTCGATGCAAATCAGATCACTCATTTCCGCGTATTAATTTAATTAAACCTTTCTAACAGATGGCAACTCTAAAAAAAAGTAGCCTATTTTCCAACCTAGGCTATAGCTATCTCTGTGCCAAATTTCNGAAAATTCCAATTTGTATGGAAGGAAACTTGAGTTATCGGAATCACTTTCAGTATAACGCCATCTAACGTGTACCAAATTTCGTTCTGATTGGGAGACCGGTTAAGGAAGTAGCCTATTTTTCAATCCAGGTAATAAACCATCTGTGAGCAAAATTTCATTTTCAAACAGGTGGCAATTCTTAAAAAAGTAATCGAGGTCATAAGCTATCTGTGTGCAAACTTTAATGCAAATCAGTTCAGTCATTTTATTTANAACTTTCACATTTATAATATTAGTAAGAAGTAAGATAGTAAGATAAGATTCAATTTCAACCTACTGGGCTTTGCCCTCATAGGTTTCGATGGTACATAATTGAACATAATAACATTAAGGTATAAGTTTATAAGAATTAAGGGTAGGAAACAAATTTAATTCATACAATAATGTTCCNCCCAAACATCCAAACATACAAACTTTCACATTTATAATATTAGTAAGAAGTAAGATAGTAAGATAGTAAGATAAGATTCAAGTTCAACCTACTGGGCTTTGCCCTCACAGGTTTCGATGGTACATAATTGAACATAATAACATTAAGGTATAAGTTTATAAGAATTAAGGGTAGGAAACAAATTTAATTCATACAATAATGTTCTAAGTAATTTTTGAATGACTCTCTGGTCATGTCGATATCAACTCGCGAAGATATAACATTAAATAGCGACATAAACTTATGAATCGGTACATTCAGGCCGTAAGTAGTTTTTCTATATTTAATATAGAAGATAGATTTATCACTGTTGTTTGGTTGGAGCGTTAGATTTCCACAGCAACTTGGCCCCATCCTCCTACGGTTTTTCAATTACTATGGGACGGGGACCGGCGGACGTCATAGTCTGCGCAGTTTCAAAGTCGGTAGTGTCTCACGTATTACTTGCGGAAATGCTGCTGCTAATTGCTCGCGATCATATTTCAGTCTGTCGGCACAGCTTTCATCGATTCTGGAACGGGCTATAGCGTTCCTCTCCCTTTTTTTCTGGCTATTAATCTCGGCTATAATGTTATGTGGAACAACTGATCGGGTATCAAGAGCGCTAAATCTTTTCTCAACCTCCGTGTACTTTTTCATAGCAGTTTCATTCTGTTTGCTTAATTTCCTTAACTCCGTTCTGATATCATCTAAACATATTTTCAAGTAGTTTCGCGGTTGTTTCTTCATTATCCAACTCGGACACATCTTTTGACACATACACATACAAATAAGAGTCATCTCATATTCCAATACATACTGGAAATATTTGAATTACAGTGGCAGCACCAAGGGCTGCACTTCTAAAACAACTTTCGAACCTTAACCGCATATGATATGCACATTTAGATCTATCACAGAATCAATCGTAGTGCGATTTTTCGTGAAATCTAGGAAAATGCTATCGCTCAATTCGAATTGCTGCGAACGTAGCGTTTACTTTGAATACACGGTAAAAATTACGCCGATAGAAATTCTGTCCCACTTTTCCGGCAACACAGAAAGGAGAATTGTGTGGTGGTAACGCTAAGCGGGGCCGAAGGCCCCCTACGCAGAAAGAAGTTCTGTCCCACTTCTCCGGCAACACGGAAAGGAGAATTGTAAGTAAGGGTTATAATCCCTAAGCGCGGTCGAAGGCCGCCTATGCAGAAAGAAGTTCTGTCCCACTTCTCCGGCAACACGGAAAGGAGAATTGTAAGTAAGGGTTATAATCCCTAAGCGCGGTCGAAGGCCGCCTATGCAGAAAGAAGTTCTGTCCCACTTCTCCGGCAACACAGAAAGGAGAATTTTGATTAGTAAGATTAGATTTTACCGTGGATCTACCGTAATTTTTAGCGTGGATCTACGGTAAAAGTTACCGTGGCACGTGTGTGTAGACACTGCCCAAATCTATTAGCGGGAACAAATATTTTATATGACCATATAAGTATTTAGCAATACTCGGCTGTTTAACTAAACTTTTTAAAAGAAGACAATAATCTCTGGTATTGTAAAGCAGAGTAGATGAGAAAATCCAGTATGTATAAGCAACAACGACAAAATACTGCTTTGTAATTAAGTTGAGTTGTACATACATACGAATGTTGGTAAAAGGTATGATTGCTCTGTTTTAATAAAGTAAGGTTTTTTTTAGTATCCCAGAAGATAATTTAGGTAGGCCTTCTTAAGTAAAGCCATTCTAAGAGGCCTACCCAAGGGCTGAAAAAATTCCCTTCTGGAAGGGCTTCCATGGGTAGCGAAAGAAGAAGCCCTTCAATTTGTGCCACTCCATACAAAAAAGAAAGGAGAAAGGAATGTAGAGTGGAAGGCCTCTTGACTCTCAGGAAGGCCTTTCAGAAGAGCTTTTAACTCCTGAAATTATCTACTGGGATCTATACGAACGGGATAACTTCGAAACTAACTTATAAATTAATTTTTAATACCGTAAATGGAATAAGTTGTAAATCAGCCCTATCTCTAATTCCATGTGAATAAATCGTTCTCATAATTTAGCCTGCCAAACAAAAACAAATTGGGAAACATTGTTTTTGTTTTGCTTTATAATTTTTGGGAATATTTGTTCATGTGAAATTCCCAATAGGGCCAAATAATATATGTATCTTTGTATCTCGGGCATATGGTGGATCCAATGTATGTACATATTATGTATGTATGGGCGATGTTCTAAAAAATGCTTATGTGCCTTAAATGTTTGAAAAAAATTATATCCCATACTATTAGAAAAGCCAAAAAAACTCTTCCCAGAGAATTTAAGGATAATCATCATAAAATTGCACTCAAAAGGTGACTGCATGTGATATTATACTATTATACAAGTACAAGAAAATGTAAACAAAAGGTTTGTTTACGATTCAATTACCTCCTCTTCGACTAACATTAGCCGTGCTGCTTGTTGATTTACGTGATCTGCCACCCCTGGTGCTCTTACTGGTGGATTTCCGATTATAGCTCCGGCTGCCATCACTTTCCTGGGGGGAAGATGCTCGCGAAGCGGAAGGAGTGCTTAGCTGAGAATCACTAGCTTTGCTCAAATATTTTGGTTTCTTCAACAGCTGATAATTAAATTTGGTTCCAGCGCGCTCATTAGGCGTCTTCGGGGGCCTACCCCGTTTTCGACTACCACGTCCACTCATATTTTCTCACTACCACCAACTGAGTTTGGTTAAAATTTTTGTTTAAAATATATTTTGTGGAATATTTGTCGAAAATTATTTAAAATAACTTTTATAAAAATAAATAGCGCGCGATGTTGCCAGTAAAATCTGCAGAGAAGCAAGAATGAAAATTGAAGGTTAATTTATTAGTAACGACGGGCATACCACACACACACACTCAGCTACAATTTTTCAGCAATTTAATTGAGCATTTTATCATTCATTAATATTTAACATAAGCAATGTTTCTCAATAAATTTCAAAAGAAAAAAATGTTTGCATTTTTTTTTGCATCCAATTGAATACTCTACCTTCCTCCCAAAACTATCTTTAGCGCTTATTCAATTGATGGCTTCGCCAGTCGAAAACTCAAGCCCAAACGAGTCCGCCATTATGAAAAACGATTTTTCACTCAAAGTCCATAAACAATATTTTTTGCACAAAATTTTATACACCACCGATAGAGAAAAAGAACTTGTATTTAGATTTTGAAAAATTTGCACTATTTAACAACAATTTATATGTTTCCATTAACTTTTTATTCCAAAGTGACTTTTCCTCAATTTTAACTTGCAAAACGTACAGTAGGCAATGACCAATCACAGCGCGTTTTCTATTTTACAGCGCCGAAGACGACCTCTGGCAGTCGTTTTGTGCAACATAGCGCAATAATGTTGCCACCCGTTTGGGTTGTGTGCAAAAAGTGCGACAAATGGCAAACGTACAGAGTGACTATTGTGAAAATTTATATGTGCGTTTGGAAGAAGAGCAAATTATATACTACGTTTATACGTAAGCTATTTGCAAATAAAAATAATTTGCAAATACCTAACTCACTGTTTATTCGATGGTGAAATATTCTTTTTTAATATTGCCTTATTATAAAAAGGCCATCGAAAAAGGAAATAAAGTTAAAAATAGCAACGTGTTGATTATAAAAAATGCAATAAGATGACCATCGAAAAAGAAAATAAAACCTAAGAATGGCGGCGTCTTGCGCTTATTTACAAATAGTACCACGGCGTGATTTAGTATTTTCAAATAAAAAATGAACTCAGCGTTTATACGGAAAATTTTACCATTTTGCAAATTGTTATTTG